TACCTGTATCTGAAGAAATATGCCAAAATCTATTCTTGGCGTAATAAAACGTTAGCTACCTTAACAAGTACAGTATAGCAAAAACATCTTCCTACAGTTATGGTGAATTACAGATGAAGTATTTGCAAAAAAAATTTTCATAGATAAAACAACTAAATTATTCTGCTTTCTGGTTGATGATAAATTCATTTGGGAAAAACAATTGGTTTGGACATATCCTATATATCTTATAAAACAACACCTAAATGAGTAGTAAGGTTGTCTAAATGCTATTACAATAAATAAAACCTCTAAGAAACAATTGTTGACTAATGACCAAAAAGTTAAATTGATGTAACAAATAGCTCCAAGTGTATCCATAGTATCATGACATGAGTTCATAAGCAGAAAAGGTACAAACAGAAAAAACATATATTTGTATATTAAACTACGCTATGAGATGTTTATGTTCTTATACATGAAAATAAATTTGAAAAGACTCTAAATTTTTTATTATGTACAACTAAGTATGAAACCACTCAGAAATTAGGTATTAATTATGGAAAAATGCAACTTGTCAATATGGTACACAGAACTGTTTTTTAAAAAGAACTATGCTCATTTTCTTATCTTTCAGCTGTTTCTTGGTATAAATGATATCTCTGACAATCTTAAAGAACTGTACTCCTATTGCTCTTAGCTAACTCAACAGTATTGGGGTGGGGGAGGTAAGAATGAGTAAGAAAAGATATAGAACTATAAAAAGAATGAAACAGATAATTCAGAAATTCCCATAGTTTTTTCTTTTAAGAAAAAAAGATAAAATTAAAAAGCATAACCTGGCTTTAATATATTTCTGGAAAAAAAGACAATAGTATTTCTTTAAAAGCTGACAAATGGTCTTCAAAACCGTATCTGATCAAATTAAAAATTTAGAAAGAATACCTAAAAACTTTACCCACTTACTGCATGTATTCCATTCTATCTTATGATGAGAGCAGAAAGGAAAGAAGAAAAGAATAAATACCAGAATTAATGCTTTGTCACCCACGAAGTTCAGGCATATATAGAAGGGCTACATTTATCTTATTGGAATGAAAAATTTAAAAATGACCCAAGATAATGACTGCAAAGTTGTACTAAAGGTAAAAACCAGGTAAGATTAAAATAATAATCTGAAAAAAAAATTTTAAGTCATATTTAAGTTCAATAAATCTGAACATTAACATAAAATGTTAAATGTGCTACTATTCTCTTTACTTACTTGGGAGACTAAAGAGTTAATGAATAGAATTTTATTTAAAATTCAATAGAGAATTAAAAAATTCAGAATAATGTCAACTATAATACAATACTGCTGCCAGTACTATTATAAATTTATTATTCTCAACCAGAATTTTAATAAACTTTAAAGAGTCCTTGAGTTACTATTTTTACAACTTTATTATAGAATAGATTAGATTTAAATGAAATACAATGGAAATAAACTTTTGCTTCAGGAGAATTCTGAATGTCTATATCATACATGATCAATTTATACACGAAAGAAGTTTAAACAATTATTTAAGCACTAAATCCAGATATAAAAATAACATATCACTATAAAATAAATCCTTAAAACAGGTGAATACAAAAATAATATATGACCATCTCATATAGACACATTATAACTAATAAAAAGCAATCTACTTCCAGGTACAAAATATAATTCATTGCCAATTTTATTTCCATTTTCATAAAAGTGTAAATACACACATATGTGTGTATAATTACATTTTTCAGCAATTTTATTTCCATTCAAATGACTCCGTGTGTTAACAAATTTCTCTAGATGTCAGAGACAGTATTAACAGGTAAAAGGTCTGTTTGTCTGGCTCATCTTAAAGCTAGACTGCCAAAACACTGCCATCTAGTGTTCGTACCAAATAAGCACTTTCAATACAAATGTGTTTCTGTTTTTCACTTAAAAAATTAAGCGTATGTAGGTTAAATATAAACTAACATTCCCATGGTTAAGAGTATAATTTTGATAGAAGAATAAAAGGAGAAAGAAGAAAAATAGAAAAGGTCACTGGGAGTCAATGGGAAGAAGAAAATACAAGGCATGTGGGAGAAATACTCTTTGGATGAGAGTCCTGCCACATTTTGTTCTTGAACACAATACATATGTTATTAGATTTTCTTGGATACTTTACTGACCAAGCAAAAGTAAAGATCAACTCCTTAGAACTAGTTGCATCTATCCCTATGTACTCCCGGACCCTCTGTATACCCAATGAGAATAACTAAGATCGTGTTCCTAAATGACTTGCTATTAAATTAACCTAAATTCATGTATAACAATACTTTAAATATACAAATTTATCGTTTTGATTACAAAATATTAATTAGAAGAGATAAAGAATAAAAAAATCAGCAACTACAATTGTCAAGTTTGAAAAAAATTTAACTTCATTAACAGACAAAGATGCATTTTGGGCCAAGTTGTTTTCTTAATTATGTAATATTACTCACACTGCTATAACCACGAAGACTGCTGACGTTGTTCATCACAGTCAAAGGCTCAGAGCAGCTAGTAAATCTCTAAACCAGAAGCCTCCCATTGTTTTTAATTGCTATATTTTTTCCCCAGAGGATAAAACTGCTGAAGAGTTTATTTCTAAAAACAGAAAATGCTCTATGAATGTAAAGTACAATATGTAAAGTACCAATAGTAAGGTGTGACATGTGGTGGCAGTAGTGTTACCATGACTGCTACTGCTAAAATCACAACTACAATGACTACTACTACTACAATATAACGCCATTCAATTCCAACCAAACCAGGGTGACAGTTCACAAGGTCACATACTTTTCTTCGGATACCTTTCTTCGGATCATATTAACCTTTCTTTCTGAATCTCTAACCTAAACTCTATCCTTTGGAAATAAGGTATCAGTTGATTATAAGCTACTATTTCTCTATTTACCAATTTACACATTTCTGTGTAATAAACATGTATCACTAATGTAAATTAGAAATATTTAAAAAACAAAAACTTCTACTCATTCTCCACAGCCAAGCCTCATTTTTCATCTTCTATGAATTCTTTCATCCTGCCCAATCTAGAAGTGATCTCTTTCTGCTCTAAACTCCTCAGGAGCACTATCTAGCATTCATTTACAGCCTTAAGAAAGTATTTTTATGTATACATTTTAATGCCCTAGAATAAATTATAAGCTCATTGAAAGAAAAAACATGTACTATCCTTCATTGTGCCCCTCACACAGGTAATTTGTGGGCACCTGAGAAGTACAATCACATGTGATGCAAACATGTTTCTGCTCTGTTCAAAAGCACTGTCTGTCTCACTTCCCTAGGCTTTACACCTCAAAGGTTTACTCATTGCATCATATTGCAAAAGTTGTTTAATCTCTCCGACCTAACGTAAGGCTCCATTGCTTGTAATAAACACCTGATAATTCAAAATACCTGCTAATCTAGAGTTACTGCACCAGTAAACACAAAACAAAAAATTCCTATGTTGTATGTAAAAAGGTATTAATAAAATGTAAAGTTTGATTAAAAACCAATTTCAGACCAAGCTTTTTAAAAATATATATGGGAAAAATCCCTGTAACTTTTTAAAAGTTATCAGCTTTAGTGATCTACCTACCTGTCTAGCTAGCTATCTACCTATCTAGCTAGCTACTTATGCAGCCGAGTAACTGAGTGAACTGAGTTTCTTCAAGAACACAATAAATGCAGATACAATTTTCTATACATGCAGACATTTATAAAAACTATCTAAATTCGGCCGGGCGCGGTGGCTCAAGCCTGTAATCCCAGCACTTTGGGAGGCCGAGACCGGTGGATCACGAAGTCAGGAGATCGAGACCAGCCTGGCTAACACGGTGAAACCCCGTCTCTACTAAAAATATACAAAAAACTAGCCGGGCGAGGTGGCGGGCGCCTGTAGTCCCAGCTACTCGGGAGGCTGAGGCAGGAGAATGGTGTAAACCCGGGGGGCGGAGCTTGCAGTGAGCTGAGATCCGGCCACTGCACTCCAGCCTGGGAGACAGAGCGAGACTCTGTCTCACAAAAAAAACAAAAAAAAAAACAAAAAAAAACAAACCTATCTAAATTCAATGTTGAGAAAATTGAGACTATATTTGTTACTCAAACTCTTCTCTAAAAGAAAAATTAAAAGTTACCAGCACACATTAGATTGCAAAGTCTGACAGCTATTCTGGGGCCAGATTTATTCAGTGAATTAAAATGTAAATATTATTTACATATTTCTCAACCTAAAAATGCATAGAGAAAACAAAATACTCACTGCAATATCTGACATGACTTTGCTTTTAAATAAATACTAGTTACATCATTTCGCTTTTTCTTCTATCCACTTGTACCATGTGCTAAGCATTGTTTTTCTGGATCATTTAAGAAATCTATTATAATTTTAATAAATTGTTTTTTCTTAAAATGTCAACTAAAAAACAAACCGTAACTACTTGTTTTTTTTAAAAGTCATATTTTCTATTTTTATGCTTTTGCTGCCACCTAGTGAAATTCTGAGAACTTAATTATTCTGGAAAATTGCATTTTTTAATAAAAGCACATCTATCTGCAAAGTACACAGATGAGGAATAAGGACATTGCAGATTACTCTCTTACAAAAATTTTTTTAAATTTTATTTTCATTAAATTACAATTCATCAACTTAGTCATCAAGCCACTTGTTTAATTAGCAAGATAATTATGATCATTTAATTTTAAAAATTCCTTTATTGAAAAAGAGCCAAATTAAATTGTTTGCCATGAGGTTATACTTGTAAACATATGCAAATTTAGTGACAGTGATACCCCCAAAGATTCTATAGACGTAATTTTCAATTACTTACCAAAAACATGGTTCATTATATAGTTAAAACAATAACATATATGGAACAAAACTGTGAACACCTGGAATTCTATCAACTCTACTTTCTGAAGAATCCCACAAAGATGACAGATAATAACCTATGATTAAGCTTACCTGGGAAAAAATATTTGCTGTTGGAGCAACTCTGCTGTCCACGATACTGTATAATATTGCTAATAATCTGTCTAGTGGAAATGGTTTTGGTCCAAGGAGATGATTGCTCGTCTATAAAAAACAAAACAAAAACATGGATTTTCTTCTTATACCAGAGCACTCACTTTCTATACTACAAAACTGGCAGTAACAATGTATTTATGTTTTTTATAGTTCCCCTAAAAATGCTAACAAATCTAACCTGCAATCTGTAAGTTAAAAGTTTACCTGATACGATCATGATTTATCCTTTTTTTAAGTTTGTTTTGTTTAGAGACAAGGTCCGCTGTCACCCAGGCTGGAAAGCAGTGGCAGCACAATCATGGCTCACTACAGCCTTGAATTCCTGGGCTCAAGCCATCCTCCCACCTTAGTCTCTCTTCTTGAGTAGCTAGGACTCTAGGCACACACCGCAATGTTTGGGTATTTTTACAAATTATTTTGTAAAGACAGGGTCTCACTATGTTGCCCAGACTGGTCTTAAACTCCTGGCCTCAAGCAATCCTCCCCACGTTGGCCTCCCAAAGTGCTAGAATTACAGGCCTGAGCCACCATACTCAGCCATGATTTATCTTCTAACATATTCCTCAAGATTTCTGACTTAGTATCAACAAATATTAACTAAAGAACTCACAGTCATCCGGTCTAGTCCTAAATATGCCTTTGCTGTTATAACCAGGTGTTGAGTGATTTCGCCAAATCCAAGATAATAACCAAACCAGATTCCTAAATCGTAGACTAGAGCTTACTACTTATTTCTCACAATCCCTCTTTGTACCACTGCCAGGAAAATTTATTTGTTCAACATTAGTAGCTCTAATGTTGAATTAGAGTAAGTCGTAGCTTAACTTAGAAAACTAATAAAATACTTTATAAAGCAAATGAGCTATCAGCCTAAAACAATGTAGAATTAAAAAAAATTTTTCAAGATTGTAAAATGTTCATACTTGTATATGAACTCATATAGTATAATTCATGTCATCAGAAATGAGACAATGCTCAAGTTCCATTCTATTAGCAGATAATTTTAATAGTCAATAAATATTTATTTCCTTTTTTGAGACAGAGCCTCACTCTGTCACCCAGGCTGGAGTACGGTGACATGATCTTGTCTCACTGAAAACTCCACCTCCCAGGTTCAAGTGATTCTCATACCTCAGCCACCCAAGTAGCTGGGATTACAGGCATGCACTACCACACATGGCTAACTTTTGTATATTTAGTTTTGCCATGTAGGACAGGCTAGTCTCGAACTCCTGACCTGAAGTAATCCGCACACCTTGACCTCCCAAAGTGCTAGAATTACAGGCGTGCGCCTGTGCATCCAGCCACAGGTAAGTACTTTATATTAGCAATAGCAAATAAAATTGGAAACTATATTTACATGCATGGGAGTAACTATTTATTTAAAATAAGAATGAATGTAAAGAAGAATACCTACTCAGAATTATACAATGAAGTTTTTAACCTCAGTTAGAAATTATTTTCCAGGTCTTAAATTTTGTATGCTTTTGTTATTAAATATTTCAAATATATAAAAGTGTACAGAAGTGAATATAATGAATACCAATGGACTCACCACTCAATTTTATCAAATATACTGTGCAATACGTGCAGAGAAATAAAACATTAGATCACATTACAGATGAGCTGAAGCTTCCTTGAACCCTCTCCCATCCTATTCTCCCTTTCCTTCTCTAGAAAAATTCCACTATCTAGAATTTGATGTATTCTCATGAAGGTTTTATACTACTGCATATGTATCCACAAACAATATACAGCATTGTTTGCATGGTTTAAAATTTTATATAAATGATATCATTTTGAACATACCTCTCTACCAATTGCTTTCTGAGATTTATCCATATAGATACATGTAGCTCTAGTTCATTTTTAAATTACCTTACAGAATTCCATTTTACGACTACTTAAAAAGATTCATTATTATTACAAATAATCCTGTGACTGATAATCCTGTACATTTCTCCTTGTGCAAATGTGTGTTTCTCTAAGTAGGACTGCTGGATTAAAGTACAAGGCAGAGTCAGTGTTTGCCAACACTGTTTCTTCTCTGACACACAAGAAGACTCCATTTCTCAGTCTCTTGTGCAGTTAGATAGAGGTCATGTAACTGGGTTCTGCTGGGCCAATGAAATATAAATAGAAGTGATGTAAGCTACTTCCAAGCCTGGTCTTGCACCTTCCTTCCCTTTAGTGGCAACTTCAGAAGCCAAAATGTTTCACTTCATATCACTGTAAGATGAAAGAGGGCCACTCAATTCATATTCAGTTATGCTGTAAGCAACATAAAAACTTCTGTTGTATAAAGCCACCATGGGTTTGGGGGTTTTGTTTGTTTGTTTGAGACAGAGTCTCGCTCTGTTGCCCAGGCTGGAGTGCAGTGGCGTGATCTCAGCTCACTGCAAGCTACGCCTCGCAGGTTCATGCCATTCTCCCGCCTCAGCCTCCCGAGCAGCTGGGACTACAGGCGCCCGCCATCATGCCCGGCTAATTTTTGTTTTTGTATTTTTAGTAGAGATGGGGTTTCACCATGTTAGCCAGGATGGTCTCGATCTCCTGACCTCGTGATCCACCCGCCTTGGCCTCCCAAAGTGCTGGGATTACAGGCATGAGCCACTGCGCCTGGGCGAGGTTTGCTTTTTACTACAAGCATAACCAGTCTATCCTAATATTAACATGTTAACTTCAGCAGATATTGTCAACCTGCAGAATACGCAGACTCTCACTCTTCTACATTATCACCAGCACTTGAAATCACAGACTTTTTTAGTTTTGTCAAACCAAGAGAATGAAATATCTCACTGTTGTTTTAACTTTTTCTCTCATTAGTGAATAAGGCTGACAATCATGTCATGATTATTAGACATTCAGGTTCCTTATTGTATCATTTATCCATTTTGCTATTGAATTTTTGTCTTTTTCTTATTGGTTTGTAATGAGTCTTTAAAAATTCGAGACATTAGGTCAGACATGGTAGCTCATGCCTGTAATCCCAGGAGTTTGGAAGGCTGAGAGGAGTGGATCATTTGAGACCAGCCTCGAACTCCTGGGCTTAGATGAGTCTTGGGTGAAACCCTGTCTCTACAAAAATTAGCCAGGCATGGTGGTGTGTGCCTGTAGTCCCAGCTACTAGGGAGGCTGAGATAGGAGGATCACTTAAGCCCAGGAGGTTGAGGCTGCAGTGAGCCATGATCACGCCACTGCACTGCAGCATGGGTGACAGAGTGAGATCCTGCCTCAAAAACGGATAAATAATAAAAATTCTAAAGGTTAACCATTTGTCTGTTGTAGGAGTTCAAGAACAGTGGTAAACATCATCATAGGCTCTGGAGTCAGGAAGTACTGGAATTGAGCAAAACTGCCTCTAAGAATAAGGGAAACAAAATTTGCAGTTTCTATAGTGCAGAGTTTATAGTTCAAAATTCTCTATCTTCTGACAAGAGAAGCAACAGTGGTTTGGACATACAAAGTGGAAGAAATGATCTGAATGGTCTAAATGCTGCTTTCACCAGTTTCAACCTTGCCTGACCCCCCCTTCAAAAGTACTTAGTGCTTCTAATCCCTAAACTTTTTCCAGATTCCTAAGGCCAAATCAGCTAAGTTTGAGGCTTAGGTTTTAGCGTTTTCTCCAATCTGCTTGGTCACCTCAATATCTACCTACCATGCAATTCCAATTTCCGGGGATCTCTCATCTGCTTAGTATTTATGAGTTTACCTTTTTTATTTCTTCAATGTCATTGTCATGGGTGCTTCAAAGGGGAAAGAAAAGAGGAAAATGCCTGTATTCAATTGGCTATATTTAACTAAATAATCCAGGGTAAACTGCTTCATCTACTAAAACACTAAAAAAATTTTGTCAACTCAGTTTTAATCTCCAGCACCAGCTCACTTAAATGTGCCTTCAAACACTGTATTCAACATAACATAACAATACATATACTGTTTTGTACAGTATATGTACAAAAACGGTACATATACTGTACCGTTACAGTATAACGGTACCATATCAACACAAATAAGTTCCTATATTCAAATGACAAATACAATTACAGATGTATCTATTCCCTATATTATCTTCATTTCTTAAGTTTCTTCCATTAGAGAAATTAAAATGTAAATACCTTTTCGTGTTTTTTTAGAAAGTTGGTTTTCTTGATTTTTCCATGATGCTGCAATTAAGGAAAATAAATTTTAAGTTGAAAAGATAGTATTCCACAAAACCAGAAAACATTATTTATTTAAAACATGGCACACATAATACTAATCTATGTATCTTAGGTTTCTAAATAGTTATTCTTCTTATCACCTTGTATATATATTAGACTTCAACATATTTTAGGCCAATTTCATTTAGACTTGGATTGGATGTAAGATTACTTTTGCATGTAAAAAAAAGAATTTCTAAAATAAAATAACGACATTTCCTAAAAGAACTTATTATATTGATTTAGTACAGCATATACATTGCTATAAAAGTGAAATTTCCAAAGAGATATGGATTTTTATTCATCCCATAAACAAGTCTGGCAATTCACATAAAAAACGCTGACAGAGAGCATTTTAGTAAGGCACAATTCACATAATAAACACTGACGGAGAGCATTTTAGTAAGGCACTCAAGATTCAATAGTGGGAGAAAACAATAGATGTGGTCCTTGCCCTCTAGAAACTAAAGAGGGCCAGGTACAGTGGCGCACACCTGTAATCCTAGCACTTTGGGAGGCCGGGGTGGGAGGATGACTTGAGGCCAGGAATTTGGGACCTGCCTGGCCAACATAGCAAAACCCTGTCTCTACCAAAAACATAAAACTTAGTCAGGTGTGGTGGCGCACACCTGTAATCTTAGCTACTTGGGAGGCTGAGGCACAAGAATCACTGGAGCTGGGAGGCGGAGGCTGTAGTGAGCCAAGATCACATCAGTGCACTCAGGCCTAGGTGACAGAGTGAGACTCGTTCTCAAAAAAATAAAAAATAAAAGTTCTGGAGAGTACCACAAGACATGATAAATAAATAAATAAATAAATAAATAAATAAATAAATAAAAATTGTTGTAAGTCCAAAGAAGAAAGCAAACATAGGAAACAATAAAGAGGACCTATTTTAAGATAGGTTGTACAGGGAGAACTGCTTTGAGAAGGCAACATTTAAACTGAAGCCTGAAGAATAAGGAGTAGAGAAGAAGCTTTCTAGAAAGACAGAACATACAGACAAAGACCTTAAGGTAGGAAAGAGATTAGAATGTTTTGAGGAAAGAAAAAGGCTAAAGTGACAAGAACATAGTGGGTGAAGAAGAAGAAAAAAACAACAACTCTAAACTGGGATTTCTCTAACTAATGAATGTACAGGAGAGGCTCCTTCAGTGTGCTGGATAATAATTCACTATAGTGAGAGTTTTAAAACATCCTCCACACTTTAAACAAAACTCTATGTATTTTTAAAATCTGAATTATTACCTGAAGTATATCTGATTTCCTCTTTTCTATGAAACTGCCTACCTTTTCTCAAATTTCAGATTGTGACATTAATGTAAACCCTTTAAAGAATGAGTCCTAAACATGTATTTGGCAATCTTATTCTAATCTCTTCCCCTTAGAAATTTACAAGTGTTAAGAAATTTCAAAATATTCCTGGGATCTTAAAAAATAAAGTGAAAAAAAGTATGTTATTATTACCTTAAGAAAAAACCTCTTGTCAGTTCTTGCTGGATTGTATGAAGCAAGGTATGCAGCAATTAGAATGAACTTAGAGTAATATGGAAGTTCCACATGAGTATGCGCTGAGAGGCCTATATAACAAAACACTTTGATGAAGTACTTATCAGGCTACCATTGGGTTTTAAGTATCTCTTCTCACTTAACTTTTGATTTCCATATGGTATTCTCTAGTCAAAATGACCTATTTCCTTATCTTAAAAATTGTCATGATAATGATGGTCATGGTGGTGATTAACATTATCATTAATGACAGGCTTTACTCAATGTATTATTTTTGCTTGATTCTTCTCATTCTGCAGTCTAAATCCTACTCATTCTTCCCTTCAAGGCCACGCTCTCCCTTAAACCCCTGATGTCCCCCTACCACATCAATAGAAAAACGTATTTCTAACTATGAATTCCTACTTTGAGTATTCCCACATAACGTGATGCCTTATATTAACAGTTAACTGTACAGGTTGAGTATACTTTATCCAAAATGCCTGGGACCAGAAGTGTTTTGGATTTTTTCAGATGTTAGAATACTTGTATATACCAGTTGAACATCCCTAAATTCTAAAAAATCAAAGAAAACGAGCATTTCCTCTGAGCTCATGTCAGCACTCAGAAAATTTTGGAGCATTTTCTATTTGGAAGTTTTGGATTCAGAATGCTTAACCTGTACATCAACCATACCCCTTAGTAAACAAAACTATTTGTTGAAGGAGCTATTTGTCTAATTTTTTTTGTATTCCTATATGACAAACTATTTGTCTAATGTTTTTTTGTATTCCTATACTGCCTTGCACATAGGAAATAACTGATGAATGGATAAATAAAACAGTAGGGTCAGTCAAGTAGCACTGATTCTTAAGGGAAGGGAAGAAATCTGATATTTCCTGAAAATCTGCTATGTGTCAGACACTGTGTTAGGTGCTTTACTTAAGCATCACTTTGAATCTTCGCAGTAACAATGCTAAATATTCTTCCCATTTTACAAATCAAAAATTGAGCTGGGTTCAAGGTCAAACAGACAGAAAGTAGTGCAAATCAATTACTACAGATCTGTTCTAACTCTGGCATCTATCCCTTTTCCTAAAAACATACAACTAGAAGTCACTTGTAAAGCATCTGGAGCATATAACAACCAAAAAAACACAAAGCAACATCTTAACATCACTATTTCACACCATTTTCTTTAACCATCAGCCACTGACATTTTTTAAAAAATAACATTTTCAATATTTGCTTATTTTTTAAAGTAAAATTAGTTCTATTTAATATGTGGGATGAATCCAAAGTAGCAGTTTTCTTAAAGAACACAAAAGCACAAAGCTTTCAAAACATAACCACCAAAGTGCATACCCTAAACCGATTAACATAAAATTACATTTTATTCCACAAAACTCATGAAATATAAACATGAGATAAAACTGTCATATAATTAGATTGCTTTAATAAAAGCATTTAAAGCAATAGAAACTGCTTGATTTTCATGATATAATCCAATATTTAGAAAATAGAAAGCTGGTATTCAAACTTTATTTCCTCCCATTAAATTAGAGCTTCAGTTAAAGAAAATTCATTAATCAAAATAGCATTATAGCTTGAAAAGTAAATTCTCTTTTATAACATTGTTTCCTGACTAAATGCTCTTTAGTATTAACTTAGTATCTTGATAATTGGCTAAAGAAGTATCTCTGGTAACTGTCTCAATACTTCCTTTGATACCTTTCAGTTGCCCAGGATCTGTGTCATCTTTCTGTAGCTTTTCCCATTGGGAACTGAAAAAAAAATAGAAGAGCAAAAATGAATTAAAAATATATAAAATCAATATGCTGTACTTAAAACAGAGCCCTAGAAAAACTAAATTTTTTAATTAACAAAATAGAAAATAAAAATATTTACATGCAATAAACATGTTTGTACCTGTACAAAATAATTTAATGTATATATTAGAATGGCATAAATTTATAAAGCAATATCTAGATATTAACTATTTAATAATCTCTCTTACTATGATCACTGTTGTAGCTATCAAAAAATTTCACCCAAGCTGGGTGTGGTGGCTCATGCCTGTAATCCTAGCACTTTGGAAGTCCAAGGCAGGAGCATCACATGAGGCCAGGAGTTCAAGTCCAGCCTAGGCAACATGCTGAAACCCCATCTCTACTAAAAATACAAAAATTAGCTGGGTATGGTGGTGCATGCCTGCATTCCCAGCTACTTGGGTGGCTGAGGCACGAGAATCACTTGAACCTGGGAGGTGGACGTTGCAGTAAGCTGAGATTGTGCCACTGCACTCCAGCCTGGGTGAGGGTGAGCCTCTGACTTAAAAAAAAAAAAAAAAAAAAAACAACCAATAAATACTACCACCTACCATTCAGTAAAACTCCCAATGTTCTAGTTACCATATTAGATACAATTGTCATATACTATTTCTAAACTCTATAGGAATCCCTCAAAGTAGGTATCACACCAGAAAACTGAGGCTCAAAGGTTAAGTCACCCAAGGACATTTAGCCAGTCAATACTGGAGCTATGAGTCGAATCCTTGTAGGATGCTTGCAGAGTTCAAGGTATTTTAATTGCTCCATCCTGGCCTTACTTACAATTAAAACTGCTAAACAACCAAAACACTATTAAGAATATGAAGTGATTACGACATGACAAATTTTTATAAGGCAACACACTATAGTATAATGAGTAAAGAATGCCCTAGGACAGTTTTAGCTGCATGACTTTGAAAAAATGAATTGTTTACTAATAAAAAATATAAGGCAGTTTGATGCAAAGGTGCTTACCAACTCTAAAACTCTCACAGAACTCTCAAAAATGAGCTAATTTATAGGACTAATTTAAAAATAATGCCAGATTTGAACAATTAAATATCCAAAATCTGCATGAAGAACAGGTTGGAAGAGATAAGGATGAGTGTGGGCCTTCTTTGAGTATACTTTAAAAACAGTAGTTTTAGCTTTTGAAGTATTCTTTGATATTCATCTCTTACGGGTATAGCAATCAACAAGTTTATTTTATTTTCCCTTCTCTTTTCCTTCTTTTCCCATTTTTTTAAAGTTGTAATAATCCTACCTTGTCAGAATACATGATATTTACATACTATTCTTCTACTCTTATTTCCACCTTAATTTTAGTTTGGAGCTAAACTTAATTAAATTCAATGTTCATTATTAATCCTTTTGTTCGTTTCTCCAGTCATCTCTTTCACATCAAGGTTGTCCTAAGAAATGCCTTATGAGTAGTGTTCTCTGAGTTCTTCCATATTTAATATTGTTTTTCTCTAGCCTTGATAGTTGAATGACAGGTTGACTGCACATGAAATTATTTGGCTTACACTTCCTTTCTCCTTGAGTTTCTTGAAATTGTTGATGTATTTGTTGTCTTGCTTTTTCACTGACTGACTTTCCTTTGTAAGGGACTTATATTTTTTTGCCTGAAAGCTCAGAGATTTTTTTCTGTTATTTTTAAAGTCTAAATGCTTTCCAAGAAGTCTCTGTGGTAGGCTGAATAACGGCCCTGCCTCCAAAGAGATCAAAGTCCAAATCCCTAGAACGTGTGAATACGTTCTTATGGGGTAAAAGGGACTTAGCAGATGTCACTGAGTTAAGGATCTTCAGGTAGACATTACACTGCATTATCCAGATATGCCCAATATAGTCACAAGGATCCTTCTAAGAGGAAGACAAGTCAGACATAAGAGAAAATGCTACACTGCTAGCTTAGAAGATGGAGAATGGAACTACAAGCCAGGGAGTGAAGGCAGCCTCTAGAAGTTAGAAAAGGCAAAGAAACAGATTCTCCTTGACAGCCTCCAGAAGGAAAGCCCTGCGGACCCATTTTAGACTTCTGACATACAAAACTGTAAGACAGTAACAATGTGTTGTCTTAAATTACTAAATTTCTGATAATTTATTACAGTACAATATACTAGTACAGTTTCAGAATTGATCATTCTGGATTAATTGGGAAAATAAACTGTTTTGATGTGTAAAGCTAGGTTTTCTATTTCTGGAACGTTTTCTTGGATTATAATTTTAGATCTTAATTCCAATCCATCGTTGTTTTCTGTCTTCAGGAACTCCAATTAAATATGTTAAATCTTATTTGTCTATCATATTTGTCACACCCTACCTGATTATTTTGACCTCTTTTTTTAGTTTTGTTCTCTTGGTTATTTTCAGTCTTCTCCTCAATGTCCCTTATTATATTCTCAGTTGAATGTAGTTTCCTTTGGATATCTTATTTTTTCATTTTCATTTCTGAGATAACTACTATTACCTGAACTTTGCTCCTGAGTTTGATCAACTTTTATTTCACATCCCCCTGTTCTTTGTTCATTTATTCTAAGTTACTGAATTTCAAAATTAAAGTATGCTTTCCATACCTGAAAATGCTTTTTAAACAAACCTAAATCAAGTCAAGGTGTCGTATTGCAGTCTTCCTCTGCTTTGTTTTGGGTGTTAAGGTGGAAATTTTCACCAACTAAACTGTTTTATTCACGTTTTCTGTTTCTTCCTAAATAATACCTTTACATGGCTTTTCCATGTTGTCTTTTCTTCATTTTGAAATGTCTAATGTTTGGCTTGGTCAGTAATAACAGGTGATTTTATGAATGCAGGGGTAAGGTTGTGGGGTGGCAAGATTACTTAATTCCAAAGTGCTCCCTTCTGAAAAAATAATGAAGTCAAGTTTCTTTAATATATGGTGCTATTATGAAAACGAGGGATTAGCTTCTGATTTTGTTATTTCTTTTTTATTTGGGGGACAAGAAGAATCTTTAATTTCTATCCTTTCTTTCCATTCTTTTCCTTCATTACCAACTCTCAAAGGAGTATCACACTCTTCTGAATCAACTACTTGTCTCCCCTCAAAACAGTACTTTCCCAAGACTACCATGCTAACTCTGGTCCCACATACTCTTAAAACAAAAAAAAATACAAAAAATTAGGTGTGGTAGCGCATGCCTATAGTCCCAGCTACTCAGGAGGCTCAGGTGGTAGGATCACCTGGACCCAGAGAGGTTGAGGCTGTAATGAGCTGTGATCTTGCCACCGCACTCCAGTCTGGGCGAGAGAGTGGAACCCTGTCTCAAAAAAACGAAAAACAAAATGTCACTTTGATTCTCCAGTAGCCAGTGCTCTCTAATCCTTCCAGCCTCAGAACTGTTCAATACTTTCTCACTCAGGGTTGAACTCTCTTTCTTCAAGCGATTTCATTTTTATTTCACCCCTACTAGTCAACCCATCCCCTGTACCAACAATCTTCTCTTTTCCTTTCAGTCTTTGTTTGACTTTTCACTTCAGCATGAGCTCCAGAGCCGGCCCTGCTGGTTTCAGTTGATCACTTCACTACTGATATATACAGCAATCTCTAACTCCTATTAATACAGCAGGCAAGAGTTACGGGTGGTTCTATTGGCTCTCTTTATTGATATTGCGAACAGAAATAAAGTGGCCATAATTATCCTATGGGACCAGAAGTCCTTTCATTATTATGTAAGAATCATTTTAACAAGCAAACAAGTTTTCCTACATTTAGAAGATCACAAGCTTTTCCACTCTATGATTTCCAAAAACTCTCGTTAAATGAATTTTTGTTATTGAAAAGGGAAAAGGAATAATAGTATCTTTGTAGTATTTCTGCTAATTAAGAAAGAAACTATTAAATTTTTACCTGAATTATAGGCTAATCAGCTAATTAAACTGAAATCAAATAAAATTATTAAGGAAAAGTATTTAGTGATAGAATACGGCATTCATGAGAGAAAAACTGTAAAAAAAAATTGACTAGAAAGAAAAGCAGATAGTGTTGATGTTTTTAGGTTTCCTATATTAATTTGTAATCTAGGCTATTCTAATATCTAATAAGACACTTTAATATTCACAATAATTTTCAGATATATTATCTAAATCTTGTAAGGACTTTTACAGGAGGAAGCCAAGGCCTAGAGGTCTTAGGACTTGTTAAGATCATATATAGCAGACAATGGCTGAGCTGGAAGTCAAAATCACGTTCTTCTCACACACAATGTGCCACCATGTCTCTCCTGAGCTGTTTCTCTACTAAGAAATTTTAATAACAGAAATATGTCGATTTATAATGGCTCATCTATTTATTTTATAATCAAATTTTCATTATATCATTCAAATATCTAGCATAAATATGGCAAAGCTAGTACTGACTTTCCTAAAGCTTTCCAGGTTTTTTTTTTAAAAAAGCTTTGTTACAAATTGTGTAACATAATGGAGTCACATGTGCTAAAACCCCCAACAAATAGAGCCAGAGAAGGCCACGAAGAAAGGGTTCTCATGGATAATGCTTGATAAAACAACTATCGCAAAAAACTGAAAAAAACCATAATCTTGCACAAAGGCCATCATAACCTTATACAAAAATCCTGTGAGGATGTTTGCCCAGCAACTGCCTGTCAAACTCCGAACTGGTACCACCTTTGTTATTGATCCTTGTAGCCAAGAATAATTATCTCAAAATAATTATGTAATTCTCCTCATTCTTCCTTTAAAAACCTTTGTCTCCCTTTACCTCCCTGAATATGCAGAGTTTACTACAACATGTGCATTCCCACTGCAATGCCCATTCTCAAACAGATAAATCATTTTCTTTTAGAGTCCCTCTCTGTTATTTAGGTTGACATATCTCGAGTCAAAAGTGGGACCTGCAGCAAGATCACCTTCAGAAGGACTCAGCAATTCTAAGAACTGGTAAATAGTACTCACTTGAGCCCTCTGAGCCTTCTGCTTCC